CTCTCTCTCTCTCTCTCCCTACCTATCTACTGTATTTCTCTCTCTCCCCCCTCTATCTACCTAGGTACCTACCTACTCTCTCTCTTCCTACCTATCTACTGTATTTCTCTCTCTCTCTCTCTCTATCCCTCTACCTACCAACCTTACTCTCTCTCTCTCTCTCTCCCTACCTATCTACTGTATTTCTCTCTCTCTCTCTCTCTCTATCCCTCTACCTACCAACCTTACTCTCTCTCTCTCTCTCTCCCTACCTATCTACTGTATTTCTCTCTCTCCCCCCTCTATCTACCTACGTACCTACCTACTCTCTCTCTTCCTACCTATCTACTGTATTTCTCTCTCTCTCTCTCTCTCTATCCCTCTACCTACCAACCTTACTCTCTCTCTCTCTCTCTCCCTACCTATCTACTGTATTTCTCTCTCCCCCCCCCACCTACCTACTGTATTTCTCTTTCTTTCTCTCCCTCTCTATCCCTCTATCTACCTACCTACTTTTTTAAAAAATTGCCTCTTCAAAACCTTGGTGAGTTTTATACTCTGGTACGTCTTATACTCCGAAAAATATGGTAAGTCTAAGTGCTATTGCTAGCATCTGAAAGCATTGGGAATATAATCTATTATGCAGCACTCTTACTGTAGGAGTTTCTAAAGAGTGCGTTATTGAGTTCTTCATGCTAACGGTGCACTCCCTTTGAGGAAATTTTGCCTCATATATATTTGGCTGGCTAGTGTGTTAAGCTGATATTTAAAACATTAATACAGTCTTGAGAGCAGAAATAGGTTTTAAAGATTTTGAATTCAAACTTGACATTTATTGCTCTATGATCAACATTGAACCTGTAGTTAACCCAGCTTAAAATCCTGTACTGAAAAAATAGGTGCCTTTCCTTCCCAGCCTTTGAACTGGCTGTTTATCAATCCAATAAAAACACTGAAGAATATCATTTGCTATGAGCATGGTTCATTTCTTATTTAAAAACTGAGTTAGCTTATTTCAAAACATATAGGGTTTTTTTTTGTAGTGTACTTTTTTTTAGTTACACACACACAAGAGCACCTGCCCACCTAGCAATTCGAAAGCATGCAAATGTGACTGGATAAATACTACTTTGGTGGGAAGATAACAGTGTCCTGTGTGCCTCTGGCATCTAGCCATGCTGGCCACATGACCACCAGAAATTGTCTTCGGACAACACTGGCTCTATCAGCCAAGAAACAAGAGATGAGCATCCTGTCCTAATGTCAGACACGATTGGACAGGGAAACCTTTACCTTTTATATGTACATACATACATACGTACGTACGTATATACATACACTATATTGCCAAAAGTATTTGCTCACCCATCCAAATAATCAGAATCAGGAGTTCCAATCACTTCCATGGCCACAGGGGTATAAAATCAAGTACCTAGGCATGCAGACTGTTCGCACAAACGCGTGAAAGGATGGGTCGCTCTCAAGAGCTCAGTGAATTCCAGCGTGGAACTGTGATAGGATGCCACCTGTGCAACAAATCCAGTCGTGACATTTCCTTGCTCCTAAATATTCCACAGTCAACTGTCAGCTGTATAATAAGAACGTGGAAGTGTTTGGGAACGACAGCAACTCAGCCACAAAGTGGTAGGCCACGTAAACCCATCCAACATCAGTGTGTGACATCACAAATGCGCTTCTGGAAGAATGGTCAAAAATTCCCATAAACGCACTCCTGAACCTTGTGGACAGCCTTCCCAGAAGAGTTGAAGCTGTTATAGCTGCAAAGGGTGGACTGACGTCATATTGAACCCTATGGATTAGGAATGGGATGTCACTTACAGTAAGTTCATATGTGAGGAAAGGCTGGTGAGCGAATTCCTTTGGCAATATAGTGTACATATATTAGCCATTTGAGGATTACAGTAAAATATATTTTTAAAAAAACCTCAAGCATCCTTTTCAAAGAAAACAGGAAAAGCAATAGCAAATCATAAATAAATAAAACACAACATATGACTATGATATGAAGCTAGTTTTCTGTATTCCTATTGAGTTTTTTTTTTTGAGGGGTGTCAAATCAAGCTGAGAAGTATTTCAGCATATTATACAAAATGTAAAAAAAAAAACCACCACACACTAACCTGCCATCAGTGTTGTAATGTAATTCCATAACTGCGCCGCTGTGGCCCTTCAAAGTGGCATAATTATCACAGTCACCATACACATTCCATAGGACTGAAATGAGAGGGAGGATCAAGCCTAAGTATAATATTTCCCCTGAAAACTGGAATATATTAAACAACCATTTCAAACCAAAAGTTTCTTAATACACATAGTCTGCAATTAGGCAGGTGCTATTGCATGTAAGATTGCAAGTAGTCAAAGTGCTGCTAATATCTGACCCTATAAATGACATATTTACCAACGGACCGAAGCACCCAGCAAAAATAAAATTCTGCTTAATATAAAGGATGAGAAGGGTAAAGCATTCTTTTGTTAATGACAATAAAGTTCTGCTAAAAACTGTTAAGCAGTGCACACCATTAAAGCAGTGCCCCCACAACCTTTTGGGCACCAGGGACAGTTCTATGGAGAGAGAATTTCTGTGGACCGGGGGGGGGGGGAGTGTTTTATGTGCTGCCTGCATCCTGCTTCGCCTGTTTGTGTGGCCTGGTTTCTGGCAAGCCGTGGCCTGGTGCCGGTCCACGAACGTAGGGTTGTGGACCCCTGCATTAGAGGTATGTCTCTATTTACTCTCATTAGAATGGAAGGGCTCTTCTGAGAATACCTAATGTGCAGATTTAACAAGCCTATCATGCTCAAAGAAAGATCACAGAATTGACTTACGTATCAACCTGTCGAACCCAGCTGAGGCTAAGGTGGATCCATTAGGATGAAACTTGCAACAATAAACCTCTCCTTCGTGACCAGAAAGTAACATTATGGGTGCTTGCAATGAGGAACATCTTGGGGGGCCCTAAAATAGGAAGGAAATGCAACATATTCAAGAAGATATATGGTTATTGTTATTGTTTTGATTTGTTTTCTCTCTCTCCCCCCCCTCCCTCCTTTCATATTTTAGGTAGGTGACACAATTAGAAGTTAGGTAGGATAGAAAGAAAACGTCTTTTAATAAAGGGTGATATAATTAAAAGTTAGAATAAGAGATAGAAATAAGAGAAAGGAGGAATATTAATGTATATATTTTTATATAATAAAATAAGAGCAATAAGAAGAAAATATGTGACTTACGGTAATCAAATAATGATAGACTGCAACTTAATCTATTTATGTATTATTAGAAATATATAAGTTGGTAGAATGTAACAATTATGATTAATTTTATTAGTTTTATTTGCACTAAAAAGTATGAAACCCAGGTGCTACTCTGTTCACGCAGTGATGTTTGTTAAAAAGAAGATATGATAGAAAAAAATTAAGTCAGAAAGAAAATTGATCTATACATTTTGAAAAGGCTCAGACACCTCTTACTTAATGCTAAGAAAACAGGATGAATATTGTAATCAGTGGAAAATGTAAACATAGCTATGGCTAAAGTAGCAGAAACTGTAGGTCCAACTACAGACAATGAATTAGGAAAGATTGCATTAAAAATCTATAAACATTTATTCTATTAATACCAGCATTCGCACAAAAAGAGATCAATATGTTTATTGTTATTATTTGTTCTGCATTTTTATAAGTTTGCTTATATTATATATAGCGCTTTTAATGAGGGCGTTAACATCTCAATAAATTGAACAAATACTTATCACATTCACTAAGCGACATTTGGGAAAATGCAGCAAATATATGTGTAAACCAGTCAACATGTTTAATATAAAGTTTAATAATTTAATAGAGAGATATTGTTTAGAGTCAAGCAGCATGAAAATTTAATGGTTATGATGATTGTCCTTTGCTGCATTCAGCCAGAGGTTAAACTAGATTTGGAATTTTATCCACCTATCAATTCCTTCCTAAGAGCTTAGAATAGGCAGACGTTCTCATAGAAGAAAATATTTGTAGCTCAGTGTTGAGAGACCCTTGATGCTCTCTGAGCTTGGTTGTTTACTTGCAAACATTTCATTTCCCAACTAGTGTAACATCAGAGCACAAACCCACTCCTTTCTAAAACTGATGATGTTACCTAGTTTGGTAATGAGACATGTGCTGGAAAACAGCCAAGCTCAGAGATTTTATGGAGATTCTCAGTCATCCAGGTCATGGCTGTCCCAAAAGTGTTTTTTAATGAGGCAACTGGACTTTATTTTTTCTTTTGAAGACGTTTCACTTCTCATCCAAGAAACTTCTTCAGCTCTGACAGGATGGTAGTGGGGAATGGGATAATTTATATTCCTTGCTAGTCATTTGCATCCTTTTAGAGAGTTGCTGTTGCACTTGGAGGTTTATCTGTGTCCTAAGGGTCACCTGAGTAGTGCTGCAATTTTTCTCTGGAAATCCGTTCATACTCCCACAGCCTTTGAAGCTCAGAGAGCAACAACGACCACATAGGCAGATATTGTTGTTTGATGGTGTTTTAAAGTAATTGTGTTATTATTATTATTGATCATCACACAGTGAGCCAGATATTCAGACTGGGTTTGGCATTTTTGTCTACCTATCGAGTTCTTACCAAGGACCTGGGATAGGCAAATCGGGATGCTTGACAGTGTTGTGGTTATTATTATACTTTTATTCATTAAATGTGAAACTCATTCAACTGATGTGTCACAAATACCATTGACTGGTGCTAATGGTTGATGCAGGTTGCTGCCAGCATCCTAGGTATCAATCAAGTATCTTCTTAAGATGTACAATGTTTTTATTATTATTACTAATTATTATTATTTACCATTACCCAAAAACATAACAAGTAGATTGTTGTTGTTGTTAATTGCGAAGTCATGTCCGATCCATTGTCACCCCATGGACAATGTTCCTCCAGGCCTTTCTGTCCTCTACCATCCTCTCGAGTCCATTTAAGCTCACGGTGACTGCTTCAGTGACATCCCATTCCTAATCCATAGGGTTCAATATG